TTTTAAATAGATAAACAAAAAAAAACTTTAAAAAAAAACCGGCTTTAACACTGCTTATCCGCTTTCGCTGCGAAACGTAGAAGGAAGTCCCTAAAGTAATCATATGACCGCGAACACGAAGTAGCTGCTGTACACTGTAGTGGATGTCCTGGGAAACCCTATGTCGCGGGTGCTATGGACACGCACATAGACAACCACAAATTACACCCAAACTCACGAGAGAAATAAATATAGGCCATACAAATATTTCTGCCGGCCCGGAAGTCGAACCTGGGACCGCTGCGTGGCAGTACGGCATGGTAGCCGTTCGGCCACTGAGGCAGTTAAAAAAATGAGGAAGTTCTCAATTCCACTATATGTTTTTTTTTGTATGTATGTCGGTTTTTTTAGTACTCTATACTAATCAATATAGAGTACTTATTATAGTAATTGGTTGTTCTTATCGGATTTCTCGGTATAAATAAGATTCCAGAAGTTCTACACATTTTTCCTCAATAGGACAAGAGCTGCAGTTGTATTGATTGTTTTTTCATTCTTTCGTAAAGGAAAAGGTTGGAGGTATGACAGTGTATAATGACACTAAAAGTACGAAATCAATTCTCAGATAGGGTTCGTATGGTCGTAGTTATATGTACGCAAAATGTCGCGTGTCTCAGATGCTTGCTAATTGCCAAGTTGATCGTCCACCATATTTAACAAGGAAAAACTTAACATCGCAATTTAGTATTTGCGTAAAATTGATCAATGCTATACCTATAGCGTTTTTTGAGGGAGCTGCCGTCCTTAACCGAAACCGGTTAAAGCGGCTCTACATATATCGTATGAAGTAGTTTGTCACAAACTTTTGTTTATTTGCAATAATTTTTGTCCCAGCAAAGAATTAGTGTAAGTTTTGAAATGATGCGTTATTTATTATGGTTTCCTTTATGTTCTCCTTTTTTGCGCAATAAAAAAAGACAAAAGACGCACGTGTAGCAATAAAAAAGAACAAGGGATTTAAGGATTTTTATTTCAATTTCTTCATTTATTTGCGTCGTTTAGGATTTAGAAATTTATATTTATACGAAGTTAACTATCGAAGAATAATAGCAACGAAGGTAAATATCGAACATCTCATAGCAATCGATTATAATAATATGTAACCTGTTGTATAGAACTGCTGAGTCATACACAAAAAATAAAGTTGTTATGTCTTTGTATGATTTTCATTGGTAATTTTGCAGCCACGTCTTCCTGGGTGAGCATTTATAATATCAAAATTTAGGAGCGAATTTATGCAAGATTGTCTTGTTTGTATTAATATTTTATATTTCTATTTGCCTGATTGAAGGGATATTATTGAAATAATATGGTAGATGAATAAATTAATTACTTATTACAAATCTATAAACAAACAATAATCTTTCAAAAATTTGCATACTGTATAACAAGCCTTGTAACGTAAACGTTTTTTTTTTCGTGTAATTTTGAAAGTATGCAAGTTTACAGAAAACTGACAAACCAAGGATCTGCAGCCGGTAACTGTGCATCTACTACGTGTTTACTATGACAGTCGTCTCTAGCGTCCGCGTAAATTATTTCACAATTTTGTGTGACAAATTATACCAGCACCGCGGTCACAAGAAGAAACAAAATTTTGCATACAAACATTTTACGCGGTTGCTAGCGATAACTGTTATAGGCACTTATTTAAGTATGTAGAATATGTTTAAAAAAAATGTATTTGTTTTTTGCAATTTTTAATTCTTTTGCAGTTGTTACATATTGGCAATGAAACTATTCTAACTAATCTGTATTAAACTTTTATGTAAAAACACAAATTATTCATAAGTATTTTGTGTTCATTATGAGGTTTTTTCGACGATACTGCGCTATTTTTGGTACATTTACTATAATAACCTTGCTGCCAATATAAGTTTACTGTGCAGTATGTTTTTACAAAAACGGAATAGGTACGAAAATACAATAAAACAAGTAAGTAATTATCAAAAAGTTTATAATTTGTATGAACATTTACAAGAAAAATATGTAGTGAATCTCATGTAACAATTAGTAGTACGTTACTTTCTACCCCGACGGTGTATTATATATAAACAAAATATTATATACAAACAATATTATAAACAAAAGACAGGCATAATAAAAAAAAAACTTTCAGACTGTTGCATCCGATTCGTATTCCTTCCGAATCCGAGATTATACAAATCTAGAAAACTCGGACCCATTTCAAACGTCACTTGTGCTACTTCACAAGCGACATCAGAAGCGTCGAGTCCGATTAGAATGCGAGAAAATACGAATATTGCTTATACATCTAGAGATAAAATGACACTTCGGACACCTGTGACATTTCGGACCGTCATTTCTCGGATTCGGAACTGATACGAATCGGACGTAGTGCTCAAACGCTCTAAGGGCAATTGCGCCGTGCGGCCGATCATAATCTGAGAATATACAGATCTAGAAAACTGGAATGACTTTGCATGTCGCTTGTATACTGCGTCCGAACCAAATCCGAGTAAATAATGATATCACTTAAAAATTCAAAATTCTGGCCATTCGGATGCTGTGTGGCAGCGTTTAAATCGTTCGTTACCTACGTATGTGCCTTTTAATCGAGGTCAACTTTTGGTATAGTTATTTTACGTACGAAAATGCAAGAAAAATAAAGGGTTCCCATCCCTCGATGAATTTTTCAGAGGAACTCTTTATAATAATCAATTTATTTTAATTTCATATATGTATCGACTCGGATCGGACGCAGTGCGCAAACGTTAAAACAAATAATAAGTACATCCGTCCGCGAATACAACGATACGAAATATGAGTGTTCTCTACTTCAAAACACGGAATTCGAGTTTAGTGCGCAACCCATCCTATAAATAGTTTTTTTTTTAATAAATTATAAGTGCGCATTTGGCCTCCATCTCACCTGATGGAAAGTGACGATGAGGTCGACGATGGAGCATGCACACCTAAGTAATGCCTATTCACTGTCGCCTTGAAAAGACCCAAGTTACAGCATTCATAGCCATACGCCATATAATTGTGAAAGCGTAACGCTTCGTGCAAATCTTTGGAATATCCACAACATAGGAGTGGAACCCCAGCCTACGCCTAGTCTCCCGGAGATGGAAAGGGGAAGGTGTAATTAAATCGTGTAATGCCATAAGCAGGCAATTTTACGGCGGTATTTAAGGCTCTGCAGCTTTGCCTTTAGTAATTCCGAGTCACCTATAAGCCTGTTGACACGCTTGTCAATTGAATCCAAGGTGGCCAGTTGGTATATAGCAAAGCCATCTCAAAGATGGCAGCAGTACTCCATGCACGATTGGACTTGTGCTTAGTACCGCTGAAGCAACTGTTCCGGTGTAAAGTAACGCCTCACCCTGGAAAGGATCCCAAGCTTCCTTGCTGCATTTTTGGCCATGGATTCAATGTATCTGCCGAAGTTCAAATTGGATGACAGGTCCATTCCAAGTAGCTGGATTCTGTTGACTATTGGTATGGATATATAACGAAAAGTTGGAGTCAGCTTAAAGGGACTCCGTTTTGTGGAGAATAGACACGCCTGCGTTTTGTTAGCGTTAAATTTGACAGGATTGGCATTGCCCCAGTCGGAGACTGACTGGAGTGTCAAATCTAAACAGCTAACCATGAACTCTCGATAAGACTGAATTTCCTCTCCACTGACACTTGCATTGGTCAAGTACCTATCTACTACTGTGCTGTAATCAGCATGAGCAAATGTACTTGGAATTAACATATCATTGATATGCAGCAGAAAGAGAATTGTAGACATTACCGAACCCTGAGGAACTCTCTATCGCCATATGTTCGGAAGACTAGCCTTCTAAGACCACTCGTATCGAACGTTCACTCAAGAAATCCAAGATCCAATTGCAAAGGTCAGTGGGAAGCCCATAAGAGGGAAGTCTAGTTAAAAGACTTGCGTGACAGGCTCTGTCAAAGGCTTTAAAAATGTCCAATGACACTGCAAGTGCTTCGCCTTGCTTTTGCAAGTGCAAATGAGAGGCGGTACAGGCGTATGAGAACAGGAGGCAACTCAGGCGCACAGTTACGCAGGCCTATTGCTGGAATTCCATCTGGCCCGCTAGCTTTCTACTCACGTCTAGATTTCGCAGAGTTCTAAGTACCTCTTTTTAGCGTATGCGAACAGGTGCAGCCAGCCTGAGGTAAAGTAGGTGGTAGGTTCTTTGCGGCATCGAAACGCGAACTGTCTGCAAAGAGTGAGGCAAAGAAATTCGCTTTCTCTTCCGCAGCATGAGCCAGCGAACCATCCAGCCTCAGCAGAGGTGGCAAAGATGGGCGACAAAAGTTAGATTCGACCGCTTTGGCGAGGAACCAAAAGGATTTGTTTCTTGCTGGATAAGAGACAATTGGCCCTACGTAACACGCTTTTGCACTTCTTGGCGGCCTTATTAACAGCTTTCTTCAAATTCCGAGTACTCAGAGCTTTGCGTAGTCGAGCATCTGCCCAAACTTAGTACGCGGACTGTTTATGTGCTTCAGCACAACTACAATCAGCTTTAAACCATGGACGAACTTGAGGTAGTGAGCAAACGCTTTAAGTGCGGATTTCGATTCTCTCCTTGCTGACTGATGTATCTGACATTTTGGCAGGAACTGTGTAAAACGTAACGAGAAAGAACAAAGTCTTACCACCCTTACGTAACAATCTGAAGTAATAAAACTTATACCTAGCTTTTTTGTACGCGCATATAACTCAATGATAGAAAGAGTGTGATATAAACTACAGCTCAAGATTTGAAATCTTATACTTAGATTACGTTACCCGAAAAACCTTGCGTATTGCTTATGATGTCAGGAGATACACGATTTGCCATTCAACCTTCATATACGTGGTGACTCCGAAAACGAGATTTTCAGGAAATAATTCTACCCATCGATGACGATTATTATATTTCCATATTGCATTCTTACTCGACTTAAATATATGGAGGAGCTAAAATTTTTTCGAGATTTCAGAGGAATTACTTCAATTTAAAATGTTCCAGTTTATGTCCGACCGCCGTGAAAATGTTCTCCACTGTACACGGGTTCGCTGTAACAAGTCGAAGTTTCAATGTGACTTAAAATTGGCCATGTATTAATTAAAAAGTCAGCGTATATCAAGCTTGTAAAGTTTGTGACTTCTCAAAGCAGATAGAATATATATTTTTTGTTACATGACGTTATGCGTTTTTTTATACGAAATAGGTGGAAAAATCCTTTGTTCTAACTGGAAACAATCCTGCGTCTACTTGTCAAAAAATATTGCAATATCCAACCAATGTTTTTACAAGTAAACTACATAATCATCTAAATCTATTCATTATTCCATCGCACAAAAGTACCAAGACTGTTTTTAACCGACATCAAAAAAGGAGGAGTTTCTCAATTGGACTGTATGTGTTTTCTTAAAATAAGTATGTTACGTGATATCTCCAGCATTTGTGAACCGATTTTGATGATTCTTTTTTATTGGAAAGAGAGTAACTCAGACGTGGTCCCATTTAAATTTGAAGAAAACATTCCACCTACGGGATGAATGACTTTTGAGTTCGGTTTTTTTAGTACCTACTCTGTACTGGGATTATTTTAAGTTTAAATTGAATGAAAAAATAACAGACCAGAACGTTACTTAGCTTGAACATTACATTTACTACCTATTGCTAAGTGTCAAGACATTAATAATTAATACTACTATCAGAAGATATGCTGCCTGTTTCGCCTGAGATTACATTATTAACGCCATGCATGTGTCCACACTGGACTAATAAAATAAAGTTAAAGTCCTATTTTGAGATAAAATTACTTACGTATTTCAACCCACTGGTCTGGGTAGCCAGCATCGAGGCGTGCAGCACGTACGGCTTCTCTTATAGCGTGGGTCACCACGACGGCTAGGCAGAACGCTGGCTCCCCAGTGGCTGCAAATACAGACTTATATTATGAATAAATATGAATTATATTATAATAAAGCAGTTACCTTTAGGAATTAATACAGAATAAAATACGTAAAAATCTTTTTTTTACAATTTCAAGTGACGGAACGAACAAATCGTACGCCTGATGGTAAGTTACACGCCTGTCCATAACAGTTGCAGTGCCACTGAGAGCTTTATTTTCCAATTAATTTTATAAATATCAAAAAAATATCGCACATCGTTTGATAGTTACCACGATAATTACCTTGAACCTTGCGTGGAATTGGCAATCGGTATAGGTTGAAATAAATATTGCATCAAAATTATCACATTTTTTCGGTGAAAACATATAGGATACATTTTATGACAATAGCCGAAGAAAAAGTTTTGTAATACCCTGAAGACGGATAAACAAAAGTTCCTTGCTCCTAAGTTTGTGCAACATAACGGCAAGTCAAGAATCGATAAACAGGGTAGGAAATTTATGAAATACGGGTCAACGCATGTAATTGTAACTTGTGTTTCGAATTTATATATATATAGAAATTCGGTGGCTTTCTATAGTAACGACCTATCTCAAAAACACCTACTGTAACGTGATTATTTTAATCAATACATAAATATCTTATTTGCAATAATATTTAGCACAGTCAAAATACAGCTGTGCAATACGACAAAAAGAAAATTTTAGTTTAGGTCATTATTCTTGAAAAGCGGCGAAATGGTACATACTTACCAGTTGCTCTATAAATTTGTGCAATCAATGTACCAACGTTAATTCTTTCTACATGACCGAAGCATCAGAGCATCCTGACTAAGACAGAGAAGGGGTTCTCTGTCTTAGTCACTACATCAGCCTTCGTACCTAAATGCAGTCTAACTACTCTGTTTGGCATTATGCCTTACTCTATATACGCACTGAGTTATCACCATTGAAAGCGATCTATTTAAATACGTTTCTTTTTGTACTAAAGCAAAAACAAAAGCAGATATTTCTTTTACTTTTATTTTTTAACATTATTTTCTCAGTTTTCAGATGTGGCCTGTGGTTTTGAGTTTTTATCTCAAGCGCGGTTTCAACTAACGGTGGCAAAACATCTGATGAATTATTTAAAGTTATGGAACAAAAGTTACTACTTATGATGATTGTATATATTATACAGTAGTAACAACTTTTGTTGAGAAATTGTTAGTCTTTTACAAATAACTCTGTATAGTGAAAAACTTTATACAAACAAACAACGTTATGTCAACTTTCATACATTTTTAAAAATTGAATAGGTATCTTATTTGTTGTGAAATATTTTTTACAGAGACAACATAAATTTTTTACTTCATAGGTCAAAGTCAAAGTCAATTATAACTGCCTCCGTGGCTGAACGGTTACCATGCCAGACTGCTACGCAGAGGTCCCAGGTTCGATTCCCGAGCCGGGAGAAATATTTGTATGGCCTACATTTATATCTCTCGAGAGTTTGGGTGTAATTTGTGGTTGTTTATATGTGTGTCCATGGCACCCGCGACAAAGGGTTTCCATAGTGCATAGTATAAGTTGAGTGTGTGCGTTGTATATTATAGTTAAAAACAATAAGTAATTTACATGCCTTACATTAAGAAGTATTATGTATGTATGTACTACCAGTGTAACGTGGATTATTCCATTTACGGAAAGCCAAAATTATGGTCACGACACTTAACGGGTTCCATTCTCGTGAACCCCATTAATGTCTCATGCACCCTCTATTTTTTTTTTCGATGACATGGACCCCGTACAGTGAATCTCAGGAGTCGATATAAACCTCTTTGGGAATCATCGCTCTAAGTTTTTCCAAAACGTAACGTGTAATGCTCACTCCTTGCTGCTCACTGTTTGGCGGCAGAAATAGTTAAGGTAGTAGTAGTACTTCCCTGACCGGACTATTTCACAAGGACTCTACTGCGACTAAATGATTATCATTAGTTTCAAGTTTGGCACCATGGTACGTTTTTTAACATTTTCCCTATATTTCAGAAATGTTCCGACCGACCACTTGCTAACCATTGCCGTGGTAAATATTATAAATATATAAATAGTAGTTGTATTGGTATTTCCCACAAATATGGCATTTTAATTACACTGCGTTTTTTTCAATGCAGGCGATTCTACTAACCTTTAATATTTTATTATATTATTATATACTTATTTTATTATATATTTATTCTAGACAGTCTGTGACAAGTATGAAAGTTTTATTGTTAAGCAGAGGAAGGAGGAATCGGTGGCTCTTGGACGGACACATATTAATCATAGAAGTTGGCCACTATGAATATATATATTAGTATAAATATATACCTTGGCTAATACAATGGCTAATGTCAAACAGTGGATGCGTGTAAGCTGATGATGAATACATTGAAAGAGTATTGTTTATGGGTTTGTTTAGTTGCGTTCGATTACCCCGGTGGCCCAACGATTTGCACTGTAGGTGATAGATGAAGAGGTCGCGGATTCTATTCCCGGTAAATAAATACTTAGAACTATGGCATATTATATAACATTTTAAATCTGAAATTTTATTATAATTATTGTACACAATATTTGTATTAGGTTAATTATTACGTATTAAAGAAATATTGACGCTATTTTTTTTATCGACTTTAAACAAGGAGAAAATTCTCGATTCGGCTACTATTTTTGTGTATGTTATGTCATTACTCTGATTTGTAAACCGATTTCGATGATTCTTTTTTGTTCAAAAGGGGATCCATTCAAATTTGAAGAAAATATTCCACCTGGATGGTAAATTTTCAAAATTTTATTCACTAACCGATTTCGATAAAACTTTGCAAATACACACACCAAAAGTGCCCTGAGGATCAAGCATATATTTGTCAATTACTGAAACTAACGAGTTTGAATTTTTTTAGCACCAATAGTATAACAAAATATTCCTTCGCTGAGGGTGACAAATTAGGGCATGAATCCAGTTTATAGCGGATAAACAAACTTTTGATCTGTCTTATTTTTATAAAAAAAGTTATTATTATTTACATAACCTAGAGTAAAAATTTCATTACGTGAACATAAGTAATTATGCTATTATACGGTCGACACATTCTTTCAAAACAGCCCATCTAGGAAAACTTTGTTCTTTGTCAGTGGTAAGTGAAACAGCAATAATTACTCCAGCACAACGGTTATTATTATTATTTTTTATTTATAATATCAAGTGACGGTACGAACGAGTTGTGCGCTTGATGGTAAACTACACGCCTGCCCATTACAGTTGCAGCGTCTAAATGAAATACGTGTACAGTTGCATAAAGATATGTTTAGAAATACTAAGAAATGCAAACAAGTTTTAACAAAGTACTACTTGGGTTGTATGTCGCACTCATGAAAAAAATTGCGATTTAATTTGCGATGCATTTTGCTTTCGTATAAACCTTAACCTAAACGGTTTTTAAAAGTAGTCTTATTTAGTTTTAGATTAAGTGCTGTGTTTTAAATAAATACGTTAAAAATCGAAACTCGGCGATTTAAATCGCAAAGATCTGAGGGGCCCTGTCACTACGCCCGTCACCCTAAGACATAAGTTGACAAGTCCCATGTGCTTGTAATTTCACCAGCACCCTTACCCTTCAAAACCAGAATACAGCAATGCTGACATTACTGCTTGGCGGCAGGAATAGGTAAAGTGACAGTACTTGGACGAACTCTTTCACAAGGAGTTCTACTGCTACCAAAAAGTTTAACGTACAAGCAGTGACCTGTCCCTTTGACTCCCAATTATTTTGAAACCCAATTGAACCCAACAACGAGTCTATGTTTTTACAACTTACGAGATCGTCAGGCGAAATTCACAACATTCCCAAAACCACGAACATTATTTCTACGTCTTGAGCAAACCTTTCTTTAAAATAACATTACTAGAAAGGTTCTAACCTTCGGGACCGTTGTCAAATAAAAAGAAACCCTTTAGAAAAATATTAGTTTACCTTTAGACTGCAGTACTCCATAGGGGTTGCTGGAATTCCGTCTAAAGTACACCCTAAAGTCTGCGGGTATATCTTTAATGCCTGGAGGTTTGTACGTCCATGTTCGATCGGTCAGAAGCTTTCCCGTGTCTATATCGTACATTAATTTCTCGGATGTCCAGTAACCAAGACCCATGACGAATGATCCTTCGATCTGAAAAGAACGAAAAAAGGTTACAGATTTTTATATTTTGTAGCCAATTTCTAAAGGTTGTAAAATTCGGACAAATAAACTTATTAGGCAATTTTAGGTACACACACGCGTCTTCATTGAATTAAATATATAATATAATTATAATGTATTTGAGACATTCTAGTAAATTCTGGTCATAAATTAAGTTGAATAAAGAAATAATAATATTGAAATTAATCAAATGTGCTTAGTGAAGAAAAGCTTAAAATAATATCCATTTAAATTTTTAACCCAAATTTTTTAACCTTTTTCGTCAAAAGAGCCAAGGCCGTAAGCCGAGGTCCGCGGAGGGCAAAGCCCGAAGCGTCCACACGCCATCGTGCGGAGGTAATATACGGAGACGCTATTACGAGTACAAGATCTCACAATTGTAAAAATGTAAGGCATACTTCCCGATGTAGTGGAAATGAGATACTTATAATAGCGTTGTTTTATCTCGACCGTCTGTCTGTTAGATTCCTTTTTCTTGGAAGCTATATACCAGAATAACGATAAGTCTGAGGACAATACCCAAAATACTCAGATCAAAACCAACTTAGAAATGTTCGTTTCTTAGATGGCGCAAATAGGGAATCGAACCTCCTCATCAAACGCCCATAGTACTATAGTAGTAACCGCTTTTGCACCGAAGAGCATGAGCACACCCCGTAATGTGAATCCGACCACGCGCCGTCGGGAGAGCCCGATACAGGGCTCGTATTTACATGGGTCTACATCAGATTATCAAAATATTTATACACAATTAATCAAATAATAAAATAACTTTCAGTTCAGGCGGGACACATCTTTCACGTTTCTCTTTTACATGTTGTTTTCAAAGCCTTAGTATACATTCAATTTTCCACTTCATAGTCGTATGTAGTTTTTTCCCCTAGTTCATAATTATGAACATAATACTCATAGTATAGAAGATAGTAGCAGTAGAGCTCCTTGTGAAAGAGTTCGTCCAGGGTAGTACTGCCACCTTACCTATTTCTGCTGCCAAGCAGTAATATCAGCATTACTGTGTTCCGGTTTTGAAGGGTAAGTAAGGGTGCTGGTGAAATCACGGACACATGGCACTTGTCAACTTATGTTTCAGAGTGACGGGTGCAACGGCCGTGCCCCTCAAATCTTTGCAATTTAAAGCTCTGAGTGGCGCTGTAACTGTTATGGACAGGGCGTGTAACTTACCATCAGGCGCACGACTTGTTCGTCCCGTCACTTGCTGTTATAAAAAAATATACTCACTTGACCAATGTCTATTTCAGGACTTAAACTCCTTCCAATGTCTTCGAGCAGATCTACTCTTATGACGTCCTGATTACCAGTCAAAATGTCCACTTCAACTTCCAAGGCAACAATCCCATAAATATCGTAAGGTTTCAAGTTGTCCTTAAAGGAATTCAAATAAGAAGCTTGCAAGTCTATGTTTTCTGAAAATGCTTGCTGCACCAATTGTTCCCAAGACGGATTATTCATTTTGGCCTTTACAGGTTTAAGTCTTTCCATTAATATCTCACAAGCTTTGATAGTAGCAAATGCAACACATTCGCTACCAATACTTCCACCAGTGACCGTATTGTTAGGTGACGTGAAACTTGTACTGGGTTTCACGCTAACTTTATCTAAAGGAATTCCAAGAGTATAAGCACACACCTGAGCTACTTTTGTATTAATTCCTTGACCCATTTCAATACCTCCGTGGGTTAAAATTACAGATCCGTCGCTATGCAAGATTGAAACTACAGAATTGTAAGGGCTAAGGTAAAATATTTCGTATGTCATGGGCATAACTTTCAAGGCTCTTTTCCTCCATCGGTTACCGTCATTGAACTTCTTAATTTCTTTCACACGTTCGTCGTAGTTGGCATCTTTCTTAAGTTGATCAATTAATTCAGGTATCGTGTTGTCTCCTTTTGCGTAGTTGAGCATTCTGACTTGCAGTGGATCTTTGCCAAGATTGTATGCTATTCTTTCCATCATGTATTCTATCATTGCTACACCTTCAGTAGACGCTGAAAAAAAATTGTCATGTACAATCAAATTTGTTTTAGATAAACCACATGTTTTGTCAAATTCGAGGAGAACATTAGTGTCGTTCCCAATTCCGTCTGCTAAAGTGCTTAATTTAAAGGGGAAACCTATAAAATACACCACAAGAAAATATAATCGAATTGAGAACATTTTCTTTTCCTTTTTCAATTAAGATAAAAAGTAAACTGTGTCTTACCAGGAGCTCTACACCAAGTGTTAGAAGGTGTGTCAGTGGCCACACTGTTAGCTTCAATGTACCATCGTTTGGTATCATAGCAACTCAAGAAATGATTCAATGTTATCGGGGAAATCGTCTCATTAGATGAACAGCCATTGTCTTGGTAATATCTGTTCTTTAGATATTGAATTTCCCCCTCCTTATTGACACCAATCTGTATAAAAAAATTAAAGAGAGATTTAAAGATGGAAAAAAGAAGATGAATATATAATTGAACTGCCTCCGTGGCCGGACGGTTACCATGCTGGACTACCACGCAGAGGTCCCGGGATCGATTTTCGGGCCACAAGAAATATTTGTACATTTATTTCTCTCGTGAGTTTGGGTGTAATTTGTGGTTGTTTATACAGCGATACAGAGGTTCCCTGGTGCGGGGCTATTACTGCGTGCGTTATTATTATTATTATTATTTTTAATTACATTTTTCAAGCAGATTTTTACAGAACAATATACTTAGTATCTCGTGTCACTAATTCAAATGCATTAGTTTACAGCTGGAAAGTTACCTTTTGTGGTATGAAGAAAACACATGCATCCATAGATAAACTTACATGTATTTAGGATTACCATACCTCCCTATACTCCCTATACCTCCCCTTATGAATGACTTTTAAGTAACAAATGTTATTATACATGTTCATTTTACCTCAAAATTACAATAAGTAGGCACTCTCTTCCCCACGACTCTCATATTATCTTCTATGGACATTACGAATCTGCATGTTTTCCCTTGTAAATGTGAAACAAGAGCAGCAGCACACGCTATTTGACACTGCCGAGATATTTTACTGCCGTAGGCTCCACCGACACGACGAACTATTACGTTTACTCTGAAAATTATTTCAACAATTTCGAAAACAAAGCAGTAGTACTCAGCAATGCAGTCGTACTCCACAGCAGGTGAAAACACTTATTAAAATTTCATTATAGGTTACAATTATTAATAACAAATTTGAACAGTTTCTACATATATCTCTGCATGTGCTCTACCGTCAACACAGTTAAATGTAACGGTTGAAGTTAAATAAAATTTTTATGATATTGCTAAGTTACCATTATAATATTCAACTTACTTGTTGGCAGAAATCTTCAGACACTGAGCTATAGCAACATTAGGCAAGTCAAGCCACTGTGACGCCGAATAAACTTCCATTCCATCTTCGGTAGGTTTCACAACACAAGTCTGCGGTTCCATTGTATAATGATACTGACTTTCAAAAGTTATATCTCCATATATGACACAGTTAACATCTTTTCCAGTTTCTGTAGGTTCCCTTGTTTTATTGTTTACTAACCTTTGGTCTTTTTGAGGTGATTTTAGAACATCACTTGCAGTTAATATGGGTTTGTCTTTACTTTCCGACGAATATAATACTTTGACCATTTTTGCAGCTTTATTGGCTATCTTCTCTCTTACAGCTACAATTATTCCTACGGGTTGTCCGTAGAAAAGTACCTTTTGTGAGCATAGTATTTCTTCATTATTAGTTACAAGTGAAATATTTGTTGGCGTGAATGAATTATCTCCAGGAATATCTTTTGCAGAGTAAAATGCTATTACTCCTGACAGTTTCTGAAATAATATTTACCTATAGTAAGAAATATTGTTTTTGTTTGTGGTGCCAAAATACCAAGACACTTTACGAAATCATAATAATGGATAAAATACTTACAAGAGCGTCATTAGCATCAAAACCACTTATGACACTGCCTGGTCTAGCGTCTGCTGTGACAAAAGCGGCAAACACTTCGTCAGGTTGTGTAGTGAGATCATTGGCAAACGTTGCTTCTCCACTACATTGCTGTAATGCTTCAAGTTTTGGTACAGGCTGATTCAAAGGCCATACACTCTTATCTGTATCGAATACCTGGTTCCCTTTTGACGTATGACGCTTTATGGCTTCAGCGCCTGAACGATATTTTGGATTCAATCTATCATCTGGGCATAAGCTAAGGATAGCCTGTATATGTAAATAAAAGAGAGCTTAGAATATAAATATTTATGGAGAACATTAATATTAAGGAAACACAAATTAAATTAAATTACCTACGTCTACCTATTTTATGGAAAAAATATTTACTTCTTCTCTTTGACTCAGTGTTTGTAGATATGCCACCATGAACTAGGCGATTGCTAAATATTGTATTAATTTAGCAATCGCCTATAATTATGTTGATATATAACATCGATGTAATATCATACAATGAACATTAATATATTCCAGATATATTATGTGCATGCGATTGTAAAGTGGTACTCGTTCTTTTGTTATGATTATGAATACAAAGATCGTACACACAGAAAAAATTTCGTCGACCCGGTGGGAATGAATTCACGTCCATGTAGCATTGCTCTGACCATCTCAGTAACGGGTCCAGTTACCAAGTCGTCGAAATTCTCCTGTGTTTTTGTTCTTTGTAGTGACTTTTCGGCATTCGTCGCCGCTAGTGACTTCTAGTGAGAGATTTTTGAATAATCTTCACACCGCAGCCTACTCTTTGTAATACTTAGTACTCCTTGTTATTTGTAAAGGTTTGTTGTAGGCCAGATAATTCCGTGGGATATATAAAAGATAGAAATAATCCTCTTAGAAATGGCTTCTTCTTTTGAAATATAAGAATTTTGGCTTTTCATACTACTATATATCTCTTAATCAGAATGCAATAAACTTGAATTAGTGGGGTTGTAACCTACACGCATATATATACATATGTATATTTTAAGGCGAAAATGTCGCTGATTCTAGTCCAACCGGTTCGAAGGAATTTTTCCTCGAGTTTGTTTTTTCTTTATATCAATTATAATATAATACATATTACAAATGCATTCTAACCTATCTTTTTAATATAGAAAACATTGCGAGCACAAATAACCATCAAGTGATCATGATAATCAACATAAAATGTTTAAATAAATATTCTTTACTATGTTTTAAGTCACATATTCCATGCATCAGTTACCTTATAATACAGTGCTAAAGCAAGCATCTTTCTGTAACTAGCAGAAGGTTCGGGAGGAGCTTCCTCAGCCGTCAACTCGTCAGCTAAGCTCTTTAAAACCATTTGCAGCGTTTCATCAGTGTAAGGATCCTTCCCAGCAAGCATGGCCTCTGTTTTTTCAGCATGAATGAACTTGGGTGATATACTTCCATAGACTATAAAAGCTTTTTCCAATATGTTTGAATTTTGCTTAAAGTGGAATAGAAATCCGGCATTCACAACCGCGTGAGCATTTTGGGATCGCGGCATTATCTGCAATAATTTTTGATTCAAGTTTTTAATTAAATATAAATGTCCTTGTTCTCCAAGCTCGTATAAAGTTACACCAGTGAATAATAATTCTAAAATTGAGTCATCTACTCTGCAATCGATCCTTGAAGATCTCTACCAGGGTGCGTTTGGCAGATTGCAACGTGTTTTCGGTTCTTTTGTATGGCGTAGAGTCGTGGGCCTTAACTCAAATTATGAGCAACCGCTTAGAGGCCTTTGAAATTTGGGTCTACAGAAAAATTTTAAAAATATCGTGGACGGATAGAGTGTTCAATGAAAGAGTATTGCAGATGGTGAATAAGAAATTAGAGGTCTTGAGGACTGGCAAAAAATGCAAACTTCAGTACTTTGGTCATATAATGCGTAATGATAAATACGACCTACTCCGACTAATTATGCAATAAGGAAAGATACAGGGTAAGCGACCACCTGGAAGAAGACGTACTTGGTTGCTTAAGAATCTCCAGACAAGGTTCAACCTGAGCACACGATGCTTTTTCCGTGCAGCTGTGTCTAAAATGTAGATAGCCCTAATGGTCGCCAACCTCCGGAAGGATATGGCACCTCAAGAAGAAGAAATGAATAATATTTTTTTTCTTTGACATATATAGCACTGCTATTTCAATATGTCGTAACTAAAAATATGTGAAATTCAAGATTATACTATATCTGAACATAAAATTTGAATCTCTACTCATCAATGCAATCGTCGGTAGACTATTTGTACTAACAATTAAAATATATCTATTTAACTCAAAATGAGACAAACCTTTTGTGGGCAAAACAGTCCTTACTCAAAAATATGAAATTATTTTTTCTCTTTTATTTTTAAATATATTTGGTAAGTAGGAAATTGGTTCGATGTCTGTAATAAACTTTAACCTATTCATAAATTTTAATAATCTTTCACGGGAAGTGAGTAATTTGTTTTTCAACGCTTCTACAAAAGTACACTTCTTGAGTTAATACACTACGTATTATAATAATAGGTCATAATTTTTTTAACGCAAAATAGTACTCCGATTTCAAAGTTGAAATAATAATAATAATTTATTTGCCATAATAACAATACAACATGCATAGTATACAGTAAGAAAGTATCAAGGAAGTAAGAAAGTGCATATGACAGCTGGTACTTATAAAAGGAAAACCTGTACTATATACACATACTACAAATTAAATGAAAACGTGAAATAATAAAATGTTTTACGTCATCGACCTATGAGTAATCAAATAATATTTCCTATTAAAGTCAAAAACCCGCTTGTTACTGCTAACATGTTGTGGTAGTTGGTAAATGCGATATGTATAATGCTTTTATATTTCAATTGTACTTTTTAGCTATATATCTGTATGTATAATATATATACATATTATGTATTGTGTTGGCTGTCCATTCTAAATATATAAAAAAATAAAAAATCAAAGAAATCTTTTCCTCGTTAAGCAGATTTCACGTCTGTGTACCACTTTTGTCTCGAAATAGCTACAGAAGCTTGTCCTACCTATTTATCAAATTTATCAAATACAAACAGTCGACTATATTTTACAGAGCAACCACCTCTAACAGATACTTATGAGATTACTGAATACGCGTATTACGTATAATATAATAGTTACTCTGCCGCCGTCGTGCCTTTTCACAATGCAAGTGATATTAAGAGAACCTGTTGTGAATAACAATAACAAGGTAATAAAAATGGAAGTAAATTTATTTGCTACTCCGCGAACCCTGAATGTGTTACTTATTAGAATGAATTTCTCCAGCCGAGCATCGAACAATCAACAATTCCTGAGGGTGCCTCGTAGAGAGGCGAAAAACGTGTAGGATACATTTTTGTTGGCGCACGTAATTGCGCTTGTGTTTTTTTATTTAATGCGAAGGTATAGTGGGAAAAAAAATTTACTGCATTAAAAAAAATTTAATCAACACTAGCGCCGCTATTTTGCACTTTAGCAATTTAATTAACTTCCATTTTTATTATCATGGATTTCCGCAAAGTGACGCCTGCATCTTTTTTTTTTATTCTAATATAAGTGTGCATCTATTAATTATTTAATAAGTAAGCATTTTTGCCATTACTTAGAGGCAAAAATGTTCATAATTGTTGATGGTCTAAAGATTTTTATTCAGGAATTTTCTTTCAGTACCTTGAAAGTTTTGATAGAGCAAAAACGTGATAGTGGTGGCAGCATAACGTTCATGATTAACTTTCGATTCATATCCAACTTCAGGAAATCTGGTAGAGACACCGTTCGCTTCTTAATAGGTGCTTCAGCTGTAACAAAATTATTTCATCATTGATGATCAATGGTCGGAACAAGGAGTGCCACATACTTAGATACATGTATAGATATAGCCACAAGTTATTACATAACATATAACACTGGTTAAAACCACCAAATTATAATTAATTTTAATTTAATTAATACACCAAATTTTAATTAAGTACCTTTTTTGAATTCAGGATTTCCGGACATGGTTCTACTGCATCGTATGACATAATTACTCATGTATGAAGTTAAAGTTTGATTTTAAAGTAATTCTAGTGGTGCCATGTAAAAAATGCAGTAAATAACTGACTTTTCGTTACAGTAAACCTGCTTGGCGGAAGAAATAAGTATGGTGGCAGTACTTCCCTGGACGAAATCTTTGACAAGGAGCTCTACTGCTACTAAAATGATGATATTAACGAAGATGCTAATAATGCTGATGCAGCTGAAGATGATAAGCAACTGTTATTTTTACATATTCGGTATGGGTATCAGCTACTCATCCGCCTCTGAAAATATTTATCTCATTCAACCTGTCACCCTGTACATAGTCAGGTGGGATGAATAGAATACTGGGGGAAGAGGGATTTGAAGTTATAATCTAAAGAGTTTAGCACTACAGTCTCTCAGTCGATAAAACAAACAAACAAATTAATTCAAACACAATTTGCACGTTTTCGGCAAATACATCGTAAGTATTGAATGATTGTTAAAACATGTGAAGTTGATAAACAAAGGCAAGTTTAATGTAATTCAAAACTCTTATTAAACTTTATCTGTGCCTTTACCATAGTTTACTGTGACAGTTGTCGCTAGCGACCGTATAAATTGCTTCACAATTTTGTATCGCAAAATATACAGCGCCCCTAGCGGTTACGAGAAGGAGCAACATTTTGGATACTAATATATTTTACGTAGAGTCAGAAACGTTACAGCAATGTCTCTTTATGCAGTTTTTTTTTTCAGCGGTTTGAGAATGATAGTCTTCCATATCGTATATACAGTATTATGTAAGTTAAATAGATAACACACTCTGAATAATAAAATATTGAAATTCGAAATGCAAAACTCTTGGGAAGCTGTTGAAATAGATTTAAATATAATAGCGAACGAAATAAAACGAATTTAATTATATTGATGACGAGCTCGGTGACTCAACGGTTTTAGGGTTACCATCATTTTAGATTTGCTCGGATCGGCTTTTTGACATTCTGTCCGCATTTCAGGCTAACAATTTTCAGAATAAAAAGTAATATATCCACTTAGGATTTATGTATAGTAAAACTCGATTTACGACAAAAATTTTGTTGTCCAGGGGCATATCCATCTCTACTGCCTTGTGAGCGAGAGAGATTTTCGATTTTATTTTGTTACTAAAAGCGACAGTTACTTTGGACTTTCTTGCAATTGTCAGCTTTTTGTCTGGAATACAGAACAATAAATGCAGTAGAAGTGCTCTGAGGGCGGTGCACATATGCCAACAGAATGATGTCGCTAGCAAGAACTGACAAAGTAAACTCGTGGTAGAGGCACTGTTCTTCTTAAAGCTCAAAACATTTGACTCAAAATATATCAAAGTGTGTTTCTCTTACCTTATCTGACTATAGCAAGTTTCTGAAGACTGATCAGAATAATGAACAACTAAGATATTTGAGCCTTGAATAATTAGACACAAACAAACAAGTAGTTACCTATTGTAAGTGTAGCTCCAACAGTTTCAAATAGTAAGAATAGATCGGATTGGAAGTCATTGTTTGTATGTTTCATGAATAAATTTCCTCCAATAGTGCCGATCTGAAAAAATTTAAGAACATTGAAGAATTTTAAAAAACAAAAGCCATTTTTCTGTAAACAATTTGTCAATTTCTTAGTTTTCTTAAGGCTATAAGCGCAAAAGTAGTGTAACTCACACCAATTTTTTGTTTACAATATTACACTTTAAATTAATAATTTACATATTTGGATGCTAGTTTATGTTTAAATAAAATATTATATTAGTATTATTGGTATTCATTAGTATTTAAAAAATAAATTTGGCTTATTTTATTTTTATTATCTTCTATATTCATTTCATGGGGTTACACCACTTATGCACTGATAGTCTCATCATTAGTCGACATTGAGATAAAGGTCTCTTGTTCAATGCAAGTTATTCACTTTGCTGTAATCGCAATGTTCACTGGTCAAATAAAAGCAGTAAGACCATAGTAAAATAAGAGAATTATGGTAACTCCGTACAAAGTAATACAGAGTTGTATGTGTGCACGACCGCCGTACGCCGTGTACAGACGCACACATTCACATAATAATGAAAGGAGCGTTGGGACGACCAGTGTTATGCAACGCAACTACATCGTGAAATTATGTGAATGTGTGCGTCCATACACGGCGCGCGGTGAGCGCGTACACATGACATGAACAAGCCGCGCTGCTACGTTTATATGGAGTTACCATACTTGACGTATTATAATACTATAGTAAGACTGTTGTTTATCGAAAAGATAGTAAATAAAGATGTGTACAGGAATATTCTTTCCAATGGTTGCGAATTTTTTTTTCAGTCGTTTATATTTCTCATATTGGCAGCATAATATAAGATACATACATTTTAGAAATACTTACATTTCTCACTGGTATATGAGCAACGAGATCCATATGATCATAAAACTGTTTCAAGTATGAAAAATCCTCATTTTCACCAGATATCTTCAAAAACAGTTCCATCATTTCCGTTAACGGCATTCCAGCTCCGAGGATTAAATTGACATCCATAGAGTGCCCTTTTAAGACCGCGACGTTGAATATGTCTATCACTGTCGGTGGGTAGTTTGAAACGTGGTATACCCCTGAAATAATATAATGAGGTAATGCGTAGGCGTAACGTAGAAATTATTTGTACATGGTCGGATTACTAGGAACTTCTTTCAAATATTTTATTTAGCATGCGCCCCCTGACATGTGATTTGTGAGTGATTTACTTGACGGAACATTATAGGTACGTTACATATTCCTAGGCATGGAATATAATGGACATCTTCCTCTTTACAGGTTGAGTATTTTCGGCAGAGAAATTTAAGAGAAATCATACATACTTTTTTACTTAAAGTAACAATCAAATTTTCGTTAATAAAACTTTGTCTACAAGAGCTCGAAACAGTATACTCTCGAAATACAGTCGGATATAAATATATATTAATACTGAATGTAATTTATTGCAATTTCTAAAATTAATTAAAGTTAACCTTGTCCAGTATTGCCAGCGATCAATCTATATTCTCCATTACGTTCCATTGCTTTGAAAACATCATTTAAATTGTAAACCTTGTAAAATTTCGTCGATCCACAATCAATAACAATTTCGCTTGCGTCATCAACTACAAACCAATCTTCTGCTTCCTCGCTTTTATGTTTTGAATCCTTTTTGTCACATTTATGTTGACAATTTGTTTTACAATTTACTCCACACGGTTTAACAAAATCTAAGTCTTCAAGGTCAATGAGTTTATTCTTAAGTCTATCATCGACGTCTGTGGCGAAACTCTTAAATGCATCAGCGATTGATCTGTATCCTGTACATCTGCAGATGTTACTGGCAAAAGAGTTTTCTATCTCTTTCATTGATAAATTTTTGTTTTTTGATTCGTAGAGACTGAAAGGAAATAAAATAATCAAGTAAAGAAGCGTACGGATTTAGATATTTGCTCTCTTGGAAGATACCTTAGAGGAGAAACAAAAGTAAAACCCACAGACCCCATAAATTAGTGGTAAAACCTAAAACACCATGACAATATACAGGGTGGAAATTCGAGACTGGTCAGCTAGGGCGGCTACGGTAACCGTCATAGCTGCAGGAAAACGGCTCCAGAAGACTGTCTATGAATTTTGAAGATATGTCAAATGTCATTCACAGATTTTGTAATAAGGGATGGTAAAATTTCTAGAATTCTTACTTCAGTAGGTTCTATACAGACTTTTAGTTTTTACCAGAAATTGTCTCGAAATGAAAACGGTTACATGAAAATTGCCTTTTATTTTGCCGACTGTGAATGCATAATAAATATTTAAAAATTTCATGGATGTTTCCTGTAGCACTGATAGTGCTACCAGCATACCTGCTCTTGCTGACCAATATCAAATTTCCACCCTGTATATTGATTTTTTGCTGTACATTCCACCGTAACGCGAATTCTTACCTATACATATTCATAATCCATCCAGGAGTGCAGTACCCACATTGAGTGCCGTTAAACCTGGCCAACCGAGCTTGGATGTCATGATAACCCATGGTCCTGTTTCCGATGCCTTCCACTGTTGTCACCTCCCAACCATGGCAGGACAATACAGATACAAGGCACTGTAATTATATTGTTACCGTTATTATATTTCCTTACAGAGTCCGGCAACACTTACACTTATTATTATTTATAAAATGAAATGAAGGGAAAAAATCGCGAATTAGCTGTAAAGGTACCTGGCTGTGTGATGAAACTGTCATAACATCGACATTTTGTAGAAAGAGCGAAAGCGCCATTTCGAAAAAATTTTCAGTGGAGTATGTTTTAGTTTATAGCGAATGTTTTAAAAAATTACGTCCTGTTTTAAATTCTACTTTAAAACTTATACTTCATGAGAAACAAAACTGAATTTTAAACAGGACGTAATATTTTATACTGCCTCGATCCCTGTCTAGGTTGAATCCCTCTACGGTTGAAGAGCGATATAATATTTAGTTTTTTTTTAAATGATCTTGCGAAATCTTGTATTTATATTATCAAGTTTATGAAAGAATTCAGGGAACTGCTAATCTATTTGGAATATTTTTATTGCCCGCTCAAAATTAAAACAAATTCTTTTGAAACGGATCTCATGTTTCGAAGGTTTTTTCCAGTGAGTAGGCGTTATAAAAAGCATCAAACGACTTTTCGTCCCTATATTTTAATGCGTAATTTTAATAACAATATATAGATAATTTTGGCGCGAACGATAAAAAACGTTATTTGAGTATCATGATACTCAATAAAAAATAAGACGCAAGATTTCCAACTTTTGATTAGTGGAGATATTATTGCTCGAACGCAAAAACTTACCATTGTTCGTAAACCACGATTAATAATTTAATTAACAGTAAAAACTAAATTTGTGTTCGCTTCATTAAATTAATAGTATAGTTCATCAGCGTTAAGAATAAAATAAGGGATTGAAACCGAGTAATGTGAATTTGTAATACCATGGGAATTACGGTACTATTTTCTAAAGTTCAACCGTCGGAGCTATTACAGTTTTGGACCTCCTTGTGAAAGAGTTCGTCCAGTGAGGTACTGCCTCCTTACCTATTTCGGCCGCCAAGCAGTAACATGAACATTACTGCGTTCCGGTTTGGAAGAGTCAGGCTGCTGGTGAAATTACAGGCATATGGGACATGTCAACTTGTCTCAGGGTGACAGGCACAGTGGCAGTGCCCCTTAGATCTTTGCGATTTAAAGCTCAGAGTGACCCTCCAGGCGCACGACTTGTTCGCCCTGTCTTTAATGTTTATAGTGAGATTTTGCTGGATTAAAGAGTTTTCAAAAACAATGCTATTCATCGGTTTTCTTTTAAGGATTCCAAGACATTTCCTGTCTATCATAGTCACTGCATTATATTTTACATCACTGTCCTTTTTTATAATTAATAAAAAGGAACAAAAGAAATTTTTTAAATACAATAGAGAACAGAAGAGGGAAAATGTTTGGACATTTGTTATTTAATAACGAATTTGTGAGAATTATAATTCAGGGGAAAATAGAAGGAAAAAGAAAGAGCGGAAGGCCAAGAATGGCGTACAGTGAACAAATAAAGAAGAACATCAGGTGAGCAGCTATAAAGAGGGCAAGGATCTCGCTATGAAGTGAAAGAGGCTACATTGATGTAGGCAGGCTCTTAAACAGAATGATGATTCTACTTTATCAAACTTATATACCCTCTTATGACTAATATAAAGCACAAATAAAGATAATGCTAACAGAATTAACTGAGAACAATTTGACTTCGTTGTTCGGTGGTAAGGGCGCCCTTACTGCGACTACACACGCACCGCAACCGCCTTCATGACACATCGCCTTCGTCCCTCTGAAGTCCGCCACATTTCTGATAAATTCGTTTAAAGATACATCTGGGCCGTACTTGCCATCCACTGTGAAAAAAAACATTTTGTACGGGATATTGTTTGGGGTAGGTAATACGGATTGTCGACAAAGTTGTGGAGGTAGACTTAAACTATTCACTAAGTCTTACCCGTACTGTGGTGTACCAGTGATTTTTTAAATATCAACTGAACTAAATAGAACACACATAGTAAAGTACAACATACATATTTTCAAATGGCTTTGGCTTTGTTTAAAAAAAATCTGAAATAAACAAAACCAGTGTTCCGTGCCGCGCGACCCAAGCAAAATGAACCGTATTACTACGGGAAAATTTTGAATTAGTACTGAAGTAGTATCGACTCTAAAGAAACAAATACTGAGTGCCCAGTCTATGTGTGTCCATGGTACACACGTTTCAGGGTTTCCCTAGTGCGGGGGCTAAGAGTGTGTGTGCGATAGAGTGATTTAGAAAGACAATAAACACAATAACGTTCACTTATTTATAGTTAACTGCAGAAACATAATTAAATATAAATATAAAATTAGTTTACCTAGGAATCTCTTATCTGAAGAATACCGTATTTAACGATTTTAAGGATTTTAAAGAATAATTTTCCTATAAAGAGATATCAGCTCGTTACTCCTTGATGTACAAATTAAAATCATTATACTAATTGACGAGCGACTCCGCGTCAGCGACTAAGCCTATTGTAATATCGAATGTGTTATTGACAGTTGCCGTCAACCAAAATCGAAAGGCACTATTTTATCCCGTCTGGTGCGTTACGCAGAACACATTGCATAGCACATTATGCAGACCACTAGTATAAATCCTAAAATATTGCTGTGTTTTTCCAAAAGAATGGCCGGTTGTTTTATTTTTAAATTTTTTGGTTTTAAAATTTAGTGGACTGTAATTTTTTACACCACATATACACACATGATATGAACTAATACATGTTTGCCGGAGCAGAGGTTTATTTTGCTCGTAAAATTGGTAAATATTAAAAATGCAGTCAATACAAAGGAATAAAAGATATATAAATAGCATTTGTGTACAAAATACAAAAGGATTTGAATTTAAACAATACTATTCAAGCACTTAATAAGAAATACATAGCAATCGATAAATAAGAAAACAAATTTATGTTATTTATATTATTATATTATTTATAAATTATTTAAACAAAAAAGAAAAAAAATAGAGAAACATTGCCCGATTCTTTAATTCGATAACTGTGTTCTAAATAACGTTTGTAGCCTTTTACGGTCGAGATCTATAGATCAAGTGAGGTTTCACTGCAAAATCTCTTAATTTCTATTTGAACCAATAATTTATAAGCCAACTAAATTTGGTCTGATTTCTTGTTCGTCCCGTCACTTGACGTTATAAAAAAAGGTTAAGTTTAAAACCAATCAAGCTCCTACTTTTGGAAGCATATTTTAATAATAATGATAAATTAGATGTTACTAAATCTTTCATTATTTTTATGACTATTTTGTACTATGACTTGCATTTCTTAAAAAATACAAAAGCAAAAGATTATCTTTTTTTATACTCAAGAATCGTTATTCTCAAATTCTTACTCTTTTGTATATGGCAAAATCAATCTTGGTAAAATCTTGGTATTTTTCTAGAGAAAATTTTTGCCTAAAATATTTTAGGCAAATATTTTATTAATTTTTTAATTTATTAAAAAAAA